TTTTTTTTTTTTTTTTTTTTTTTTTTTTGGGCTGGGGCTGCCCGGGCCCATGCCCGGGGGTCATATGCCCAGCCGGTCACCTGGTCGCCAAACCGGCCATGACGTCGGGACCCGGGATATCTCCCTGGCTTTTTTCATCCTTGCGCACGGGGCATGCCAATCTTCTCTGTACCGTTCCAATTTTAACGGATGTCCCGAAGGACCTCAGCCAAAATTTTTGAAAGATACATCTGCCTTTTTTTAATTTTTTTCCTCCTTTGTTTTCACATTTTGCAAGTTTCACCTCAAAACATAAGCCATGCCACACCCAGTCCGTCTGGCCGCATGGTGTACACTGTACCCACATTGAGCTGTCTTAGTGAACAGATCATCAGTTTGAAACCTAACCGGAATCACATGGATGCATAGGGTAATGCGCTGGGAACCACGCTCGCCGTCCATTGCACGTAATTGCATGTACGTAACCTTGAAGACTGCGTTGATTGCCCTCTTTTCGAGGGGATTGAGAGTCTGCACCTCTGTCCGTTTACCCGAGTAAAGCCGAACCCACCCAGTGGCACCTGTATCACTACCCCTAACCCCTGTTTCAGTGGGAGTTGGAGTGGTTGCAGGTCCCTTCCTTTGTCCATTTGGTCTTGCAGACTAGTTGATGGCTCCAGCTTTCCTTGTCTGCCCTCCTCATGTGGTACATAAGCGCGCGGCCCCAGTGGCGAAGCTACGAGTTTCTTTAATTTCAACTTTTGAAAAATGAAATTTGGGTTTGACTTGTCTCCGTGGGAGTGTTCCCGGCCTTGTTGGGTGTCGGGAGAGGGGAGAAGCCGGAGTCATCAGAGTCAATTCGTTAGATCTCAGTCAATGAAGCTGAAGCCAAGACCCTGATTTAATATGACCCATATTATCTGCGTTTCCAGAGTGTATTTTCTGGCAGAGACAAACCTTTGTTTGTTTCATGGGGGCTAGGTGGCTTATTTATGAATGACTGAGGGGTGTGAACTGGCAGTCCTTAGAGTTTTCTATCTGCTGTGAGTGAGTCATAGTCTGCTTTTTTTTTTCTTTTCACAGGCACCCACCTAAGAGGCCAGTAGTTGCTGTCCACCTCAGGGTGTCAGCTGTTGCAGCCCCCCTCCCCTTTCTAGTTCTTTTCCCCTTTTCCGTTTACGGTTCACCAGGCAGTTCTCTGTGATGTTATCGTGTACTCAGCCTCCTGATCAATCGGTGAAACTATGACGAACCGGTTTGTCACAGCCCCTCGTTTGTTGTCCTCTTCTCCCTCCCTCTCTGCCTATGGTTCACCGTAGGCAGCTCTGTTTGACTATATATATATACATATATGACGATATATATATATGATGTGACAATATATATATATACCTGATGAGTCGGTGAAACTCCGACGAAACAGTTTGTCACAGCCCCTCGTTTGTTGTCCTCTTCTCTCTCTCTGCCTACGGTTTACCGGGCAGTT